ACCACGCTAACCTCATTAGTCCCTCTTCCCACGTTCCTGACACTATACGTACAATAATTATAATATATGCGTTTCATAATTATTTCTTTATTTATGTCTAGTCCACTAAATTCCAAGCTTCTTAAAGATCATGTTTTATTCATCGTGATGGTGCCTTAGTGACTAGAACACCTGGGTGGCTCATGTATCCGCTCAATACTATAGGATGCTTGTGTGCATGAATAAATGAAGGACTAAATGAATACCATCCAGCAGTCACAGACACTTTATCCTTACATCTGAATGATACTTGATTTTACAAGAACACTATCTTTTAAAATCTATCCAGATCATCCATGCTCTTCACTAGTGATTTGACAGCTACAGGCAAACTCTGTACACAAGATTATTTTATGGTTTGCAAATCACATTTGTCTATCTTCAATTTGATATAGGTTTTTTTATTGGTTGTAACGTGATTGGTCTGGAATTTTGTCATTTCCATTTAAAGTTCAATCTAGTTCTTCCTCAAAACTTTCCGTAATTATCTCTGCATTACCCAGTCCAAAATTTGCATTTTAAAGACAGATCTATATAACATTCACAGTATAGCTATATGAACAAAAATAATAAAGATGATTTATCTTTCTTCCTCATATATAATAGTTCTGTGTAATTATCAATTTGTATCTCATGATATTTTCTTATAACCCAAAATAAGGCTAGATAGTGGGGAATCATACAATAATAAAGCATTTAAAATATATATGATAAAAAAATCTTCCACACACCAACTCACCATGTGGTTTTTGTTTACAGGGAAAAGTGCTTTCCTCAGTGTTGAGCACATTGATAAAATGAGCCAAGTGCTAGATTTGCCAGGCCATAAAGGACAGGGCAGGTGGCCTGTCATCACTATTGCTGCCCATATCACCTCTACTAATCCCAAATGTAATCACCCAAGGCCACAGGCAATCTCTTACTAGGATTGCCTACTAAGAGATAAAGATTGGATGGGCCAAAAGATTTATCTTGTATTGGTAACTATGCTGCCTTACAAGATAATTTTATATACATTTTGTAGTCATCTCAGGGAATAACAAAAATCTAGATTTAAAATATGAGAGACATCCTTATTTATATAAAAATATAGATACATTCAAATTTCTATCTATAGTAATGATAGCAAGTTAAAATACAGAAAGAACTTGAAGGTATACATTTTATGCAAGGTGATCACAAGAACTGAACCATTCTTGTCGTATCCACCCAAAACAATCAAGAAGACAGAGGGAAAAAAACACCAAGCTACAAAACATTGTTCCAAGAGCGTATTTCTCGGCAAGCCTGACTCTAAGAGTGCTGTTGTTGTAAAACACGAAACCAGTTTTATCTACAGCTTCCGAGGTAACTTGCTGCAACTCTAGGACTAATTTTACCCATGACCGTCGCTCCTCAGTTCCCTAAACCCTTACCGAGGAACTTTCTCAAAGAGCAATGTGCAACGTTTCTCCTTCTGTATAAAACCTCTAACCTTCTCTTTGTTCTTTGGATATACTGAAGACCACCCAATTCGTCCCAAATATTACAAAACCTTAAGTTTAAAGATTTATCTCTACATTTTTATTTTTACTTTGACTATCTTAATGCATATACAGAACATGTGTAAGTTGACCACTCAAGGGACTGTAACAAACTGGTCAACATACAGAGGTGGTCAACGTAAGAAACTACCGTACTGTTATGTACAGGTGGTGCATGTCCAGTCTATGACAACTGGGTCAACTGAAGGAGGTGGTGATGTAGGGAGGCGGTCTACAATGGAGGTTCAACTGTGTTTGTTAATTTTAATAATTTTAAGGTAGCTTGATATAGATTTCTATTCCTGGCACACAAATTTTGAATTATTAGAAAATGCTTGGCTGATGTTTTAATTTCAGGAAGAATAGAGGTTATCAAAAAAGTGATGTCCTCTGAGTCCCATTTTACCCACAATGACTCACCTTAGTCCTTGCCAGCAAGGGAGCACCCCTTTCCAACAGAAGTTCCACCACTTGGTCATGCCCACTTCTGGCTGCGCAATGAAGTGGTGTCAACCCATCCTGCCGAAAAAGTGAAAGAATCAGACACAAGTTCACTTATTTCAAAACCAGGATTGCCATCTACTGCAACCATAAAGAGGGAGTTTCCTGAGCTCAATCCCGACAATTCATAATAAATCAATAATAGAATTGCAATTAGTTAAATGACAGAAAAGAAGATGAGTGAAACAGAAAGAAATCCTGAGAGACAACAAGACCGAGAAAGGGAGAGACAAAGTCAAAACAGGGGGAGAACAAGAGAGATCCCATGTGTGGACAGTCAGTGGAATGGAACTGGCTTCTTTCTGCTCACGTGTTTGCATATTCAAGAAAATGGAGAAACAAAGTATGCTTCATGTTTTAAATTTTAGACCCTACTCACTAGAACCACTTTCAGAGATTCTATGAAATTGTGCCAGTTTCATTTTGTTTGTTCTAACACAGTTTTACGTAAAACTCATTTTTACTGTAATTTGTCAATATATGTTCTCTCTTGAATTGTCAGTACTTTCATAAATTCTCCTAAAATACTCTCTGATGCTGGCAAAAGAGGAGGATTGTTTTTCATATTCTTTTACAGATTTCCATACATACATTTCACGATTTTAAAAATTACATAATTATTTCCCAGAGATGAAATTTATTAGTAGTAAATGGGATTATAACTGCAGCAAATAAAATATAGGCCAACTATATGTTATGTCACTTATTAGACTTTCTGACCTTAATAATTCTGGGGTAGCTTCTGATTCCAGAACAGTATTCATATCTCCCCGTCTATTATATTTTATTTCTCTTTAGGGTAACAATGGTCAAAAAAGCAGAGTGGGTGGCAAATACAAGGCACGATGTAATAAGTTATAAAGAGAGACAAATGAGAGAGAAAATGAAATCCCAATTACATAAATTAAGTGGTGATTTGAGGATTAAGGGAAAAAATAGCTTGTCCCACTGAGAGATGTGGAGAAAGTGGGTAGCAATCAGAGAGAAGGAAGGATGTGAGCAGCTATGAGGATTTTAGAAGCTCCTGATTCATCCAGAGCTCTCATAGCTTATCTTTTGTGTCTGCTTCCAGGACACTCTCTCTAGGCTGCGTTTTCCTTCTAACAAAAATAATTCCTCCGAATTACAACACTCTTTCTGGTCCAATGTGCTGGGAGTTCTATGCTAGACGTCCTCTACTTCTGTCTCCAGGCTCCAGCCGCCTTTTCTTTGCTCTGTGTCCCTACAGCGGACCACTCTAAGGGGCTTCAGCAGCTGGGTTTCTTGCCCTCTGGCTTCTGTCAGGTTTGGCCAATGGGAAAGAACTCTCTTAGGGATCTCCTAAGTCTAAAGGTTACGCTCCCACCAAGGCGGCCTTTCCACACGATTGTCCCTTTTGAAGTCCTAGGAGCCTCCCCGACTCCTTCCCTTTTAGGTGTAGGTGGATACTAAGCCCTGCTCTTACCATCCCCTGAGATAGCGCACCATCTCTGTATCTTCCCTACAGTCTATGCACAATATTATAAACAGACCCTTCACAATCTCTAAGCAAATCACCAATTTGAGCGTGCCATCTGTTTTTGGTTAGGACCTTGACAAATAATGATTCTTGGCTTTGTTAAATCCATTTAGCTAGTATGAAGATATTCAATAACCAAAAGGGATCTGCAGTTTGGGGTATCTAAGAATTTATGTGAAAAGACTGCTTTTCCAGAGAAAAAGTACCTAACTACTATCATTGAGATGTTATCTTATTTTAATGTTTGCCAGATAGGAGCCGGAAAAATTGTGCCAGCAGGGCAATAAAAAGGGTTATACTTTTGTATCTTGATAGCAACTAACTACAGAGCGTTAGCTACTATGTAAGTTATATAACAATTAGATGGAGCTGATGTCTCAGATATATTCGTGGTGGGGGCTTGGTCGAGATCTAGAGTTTGAGATATCCCACCTAGTGAATGGAGACACCATATGCAATGCTTAGTGTGACTGTGGAGTCACAGGACTCTCAGATCAGTCCCCTACCCCCAGGTGAATTTCTCTGATGCTCAGCTTCATGAACAAAATAGGGAGTGATTTTTCTTACCCTATTTCCCTTACAGCTTTGTTTAAAAATGTGGGAGGGTATATTGCCCTACATCATTTTCTAGAAAAGGTAGAGTATACAGTTCTCTACAAATTACATGAAATACTCCTTGTACAATCATATTGCAACTGATTTCTAAAATACTGTTAGAGTAACAATAGGATCATTATGAAGAACATTTATCATTCCCCCAACAACATCAAGTAAATCTTACATTTAATGATGTAACTGCATTAATAAAAGATGTGTGAATAATGATATCCAATTCAAGTTGCCCAATTGGCTAAATCTGACTAGAATTTGAATTTTTTTTATCAAATACAGTATCAAGTTAATACTAAAAAATTCCTACCCAAGTTTTGTATTCTAGGACATTTTAAACTTAAATTCTTAAGCCTGTGTTTGAAGGTTATGGTTTTTTTTTTCCTCCAGAGACCCTCTTTGGGTTCTCTTTTTTCTAAACTAGAATCAGTTCCTCTATACTGCTGTGCTATCTCCTCTGATATGGATAATTCTGAAAAAGAGACATCAATGAGTGTGAGAGGGACTCCATTTATCTAGCTGGTCACCCACAGCGTTAGCTCCTTACCAGCATTTTTTTTCTCTAACTTTTCCTTTTCTCACTCTCTGCCTAGAGCAATGAAAATAATTTTATGGTTGGGGCGTCACCACAACACGAGGAACTGTATTAAAGGCATTAGGAAGGTTGAGAACCACTGGCTTAGACCATTATTCCAGCAGTGTATCCTGAAGTCTGTATCAACATAGGCTCTGCTGATTACTAAGCTGGGTATCCTACCTCAAGTTACATAACTCTGCTGAAATCCATTTTTTCCTTTGGTAGTCTCATTTCTCAAGAAAAGACCTTCATATTTTCTCAGCCAAAAAATAATGATACTTCACAAGTTGTTAGGAAGACAAAAATACACAATATTTGTAGAACAAATGACAGGGTGCCTATCATAAGCAGATGACAGTTGGTGAAACCATGTACAGATATTACTTTAATTATTACATCCAAAGTACCAAGTACCAAGTACAAGTACCAAAAATGATCCCTGTTTCTCACGTGCTTTTTTTGTCCCTCATCCTTTAATTTGTTTGTATGCTTTTATGGTTTGCATTGAAGTATGTACTTTAATATTTTACACATAATCTTTATATGGGGTATCCCCACGTTTAAATAATAAATAAGCCTAAAAACAAAGAAAAGAATGATGCCCTTAATAAAGCCTGAATTAATAATCTCATTCCAACTAGCTATAAAATGTATGTTTTAACATTAAAAGAGGGGTTTTCAGATACCAGCAAAGGGTTCTGGTGACTATGTCTCAGGGATTCATAACAAATCCTAGTCCATAATGAGAACGCCAACGACAGGTAAACTGTCTCAGTGGGGGGGACTCTGCGGAAGATTTGCGTCTGAATTACCCGAAACCCTCTCTAGATCTTGTTTTTCTCCAGACAATGAAAATCATATAAAGGAGAATGATAATGAGACAATGAAAGGAAAATTCTTCACAGAATATACTAAATTTAGAATATTTTTGGTTAATTTGATTGCTAGGGGAAACTAATAACTTTATGATAAAAAAGAAAAACTAGGACTCCTTTTTTATAATGTTATATATATAAGGTCTATTATATTACCTACTAATATAGTGAAAAACAAATTAAATGTTTTTTTATCTTTAAATATATTTTCAAAGGCCCAAAGTAAAATCAAACTATATTCCCTTGTTTTGGTCACTGAATATCGTCGTTCCAGAATTGGCCTCCCAATTCTAGACCACAGTCCTTGATTTCAGTATTTATCTCCTATTTGATGTTGTCTTTGGTAAGAGGGATATCGTTCTTTTAGCTCTAACCAGAATGGAAAGAACCTAACAATGCTTTTAAAATACTACTACATAAGAGATGAGACAGTATTTTAACCTTCGAGGAAGAAGGAAGATGAGTGCCATCATTCACTAGTGTACGTACTCCTGGGGTATGCTGGAGCCCGGTCATAGGAATGAGGGATATCAATATGTTTCTTTCCAATCCTGCATTTAGTTATACCATGTTGGTAGCTCTAAATCATGGTGGAATTATTTTACACTTTGGAAATCAGCAGAGGCAAAGTCATGAATCAAGGGGGTTTTTTTGTTTGTTTTGTTTTGTTTTGTTTGACAAGTTGTTAGTAAACTTCTACCAGCACACTCTTAACCTAATCCCCTTTAGCTACTATTGATTTGCATTTCTGTGCATATAGAGCCCTCGTCTGTCTTGTTAACCATTGTCTCTCACGGTTCATAGCAACAAGTAGGAAGTCAATAATTATTTGTTTAAGTAATGAATGAACAGAATGTCTATACAGTGTACACAATTAGAAGAGCTATATTTTCTTTTTAAATCCTTGAATAAAATAAAATAAAATTTATTTGCATATCAGAAGACTACCCTAGATAAAATATGGCCCAAAGATTCCCCTCACAGAAGAAGAAACCACAGATTACACTTGACTGTATTAACTTGCAGGAGAATTAATTACAGAACTAGCATAAGAATCCATTTCTTTCCACAATTTAGTACTCTTTATGAAAATACACCGTCTACTTGATGTTAGACTTTTAAATTATATATGCAAATATATGCAGACCATGCAAAACTAGAGCATCTTTTAAAGAACTAAGTAAATATCGCAATGATCAGTAAGAACAAAACCAACTGCCTCAATAGTGAATGAATAAATACTCCAGAAAAGCATTAATAAAAGTGTAACCCTAAGACATTGGTCAAGATAAAAAATGGTTTGCACGTACAAATTGTGTGATAATCACAATTATTAGAGTCTCAATGGAAACAAAAAGGTCAATATAAGAGGTGAAATCACCTTAGTAGAGTCTGCTAAATATGTAACATTTTGTTAGTAATGTTAGTTACAATATTAGAAATGCATCAGTATGCAAAAACTCTTTCCTTTAAGTATAAAGGACAAGTAAGCAAAGCATGTAGCATATTGCATACTGTGCCAAATTCTGCATGCCCATAGCATAGTAAAGGAAAATCATGCCAAAAAAGCATAGGGTAGAACTATATAAAAGTCTGGACAGCATAACTAAGACACCAGACACAACAACAAAAATCTTAACAAAGCAAACCACTCTAGAACTCCCACATGATGGGACACATAGCCACTATGGACCAAATGTCATAGAAGTAAGACAACCTTTTTGAAACCAAAGACTAGTTTCATGGAAGACAATTTTTCCGTGGACTGGGGGAGGAAGTGGTTTAGATATGGGTCTTCAGGCAATTAATTTAGTACGGTCTCTGCTCAGTCAAACCTCTCTGGTCATGATAGTCTGCACTTGCAGCCACTCCCCAATACCAGCATCGCCACCACAGCTCCCCCTCAGCACATCAAACATTACATTCTCATAAGGAGCACACAACCTAGATCGGCGGCAGGTGCCATTTAAAGTGATGCTTTTGGTCCTGTGAGAACCTGATGCTGCGGCCCCTCTGACAGGAGGCGGAACGTAGGCGGTGATGGGACCAAGCGATGGAGAGTGGCTGCACATACAGATGAAGCTTTGCCTGCCACTCACCTCCTGCTCTGCACCCAGTTCCTAACTGGCGGAAGACTGATCCACGGCCAGGGGGTTGGGGACCACATCAGAAAATGAGATTAAGAAAGCAAGTTTTCCTGAGGTCATTAAAAACCAGAATTTATATCCTGAGGCTGGTGTAAATTCTAGAAGCTTAAAGATGATAAGGTTAATTAAACAAAAACATTTTCTAGCCTCAAGATTTACAAAGAAACTATCAATAGATTTGATTCTTATGACTTGGACTATGAGAACATGAAATCTTAGAATTTAACAAAGTGAAGATAAAATGCCACAAGGAACACGTTTATCTACCATCTTTCATAGACTTTTACATCACACATTTCAACATTTTTATATTATAGGAATGTCTGAAGTTTTGTCTGAAGAAGTCTGTAATTAACCAAATATACTTCAGACAAATTTTATTGAAGTATGTGTTATAGGTTTAATCAAATAACTACATACTATATAATGTCAGAAATTATAAATAGCTAAGTGATTTATGTACTCACTGTTTTAAAAAAGGGGTATTGATAATATAGCCATGATGTAATAATATATAATATAATAATACTATAATAATTATTAATAATAATTATAATAATATAGCCAGATTATAATATATTCTCACACAACCTTATAAGGTAGGTACTATTATTAGCCTAAATTCAGGGAAGGTAAGAAAATGGCCCATATCATACAACTTCATAAATGGTAGAAGTAAGATTTGAGATCAGGCAATTTTCCTTCAGAGTCTGCACTTTTAACAGTTGAACTGTAATGGTATTTTATTACCTATCTATTGGGAGTAAGTTAAAAACTCAGAATGATATTTCATTTAACAAATCTGAAATGAATGAAGGGCACGACTTTTACCAAGATGGCATAGGGTAAGGTCCATATAATGTGCTGATTTTTTTCTAATAAGTATCATAAGCAAACCCTCTGCTCAGGTCAGTATAGCAAAACCATTTAAGGAAAATAAATATGGAATTGAACAACGGAAAACAAAAAAATTTCAGTATGTATGAAAATATATTATGTAAAAGCTACACTCTGATAACTTAATGTATGGTAATGAGTTTGAACTCTCAATATTCATAACTACCCAAAAGCGAGACATGTAAGTCCAATCTTCGTTCTCAGAAAATCAATACGCAAACTTTGAAAAAGTACCTTGTCCAGGGGCCAGCATTCTGTTTTTCCACAATTATAAGAAAATATTGCTTTCACTTAATGATATGAAAACTTTAAATATTGTATGGGCTTTAAATGAAATCTAAGAGAGCGTTGGTTTTTTTTGGTTTGTTTGTTTGTTCTAATGTATTGCTTCTGTTTACAGACTTGCGATCTAAACTGCTTGTTAAGAGGACTGAATGACATAATAAGGGGAGGACATGGACAGAACAGAGACACTCACCCTAGTTTTGGCATCAATCTGACCGCCTCGATCCAGTAAGAGCTTCACCATGTTTGTGTTGCCCCTTTTGGAAGCCACGTGCAGAGGAGTGATTCCATTCTACACCACGGAAAGACCAAACAAGAGCATGTTGGGTACGACAGGGCATGATGGCGATTACTTTGTGTTAAAGGGTAAGGGGAGGTTGTGACCTATGTGATAGTTTGATCCATGGTTTCTACAAGTTCAATGTCTTCAATTTGTAAAGAACAAAGTAGCACACAAACCACAAAACACCTTGGTTAGAGAATGCAAAATGGAATGAGACTGCTTTGCTACGTTAGTCGAGAGCTACAACAGAAGTACTGAGTGTGCACTTGGCAGTCAAGAGACAACGGAAGCTTTGTGTGTAGTAGAAATGAAAATTCAAATTCTACCTAAGACAGAGCCCTGCTGTAAAGTCCTATAACATCCACGCACTTAAAAGAGTCTGGAAACACAAAGTCCCATATGAGTGAAAATGGAATGCAAATGTACATATCAGTACTTGATGGAAAAATGACTCTTCGAAAATCTTCTTCAGAATAATTCAGGAAGAAAAACAGCTTGAATTTCAGTGCAGAAGACATTAAGAGACAAAAACAGTCTACATATAAATTGTATTTATTTATTTTATGGTGTATAAGTCATGATTATGGCAGAGACATGGACTTGATTTTTGTGTCATAATTATTTAAATATTCAAAATTTTCATTCACTGATTTATAGTGAATATACTGAGTTATATGATTTTCATGTAAGTGAATTCTTTCCAATTCCCATTCAGCATACAACAATGCGGTATCTTTGTATGTCTTTTTGTAAAACTTCATATGAACAAATTCTCAGTTCATGAACAATTCCCTGCCAAACTGTGTGCTCTGTAATCCCTGTAAGGCATGCTACGTACATCATTTGGGCTTAACATTGTAAAGGTTTATTTATTGACTTGAAGATGCCCAGTCATCATTTGTAGAATGATCTTGAAATATTACTGCCTATACTGATGTCAGAATTAACATCCTCCTTAGCTATTGGAAATGATCCGTGTGCATGTGAATTTATGGCATTCTTATTTTCTACTTGGGTCATGATGACTTCTTGTGATTGAAAGAGAAAAAGGAAACTCTTAATCTCCAGCACAGATCCAGGTAAGAGAAAAGAAATGAAACCTCTATGGAAGCCACTGGTGCTCTTTCTCACATTTCTTAAAATACTCATTTCCCGCTGTGTAGAAGGAGAAACTATTTTAAAAATCCATACCCTGGCTGTGAAGTCTACAGCAGCGCCCCGGTTTAGAAGGAGAGTCGCCACATTGACGTTCCCATAGTGTGCAGCTATGTGCAAAGGGGTAAAACCGCTCTGTGGAAAACCAAGAAATGACGGTCAGGAAAGGGTTTTTGCTTTGTATGCTGCAGTCACTGGAAGAAAGTTACACGGCACCTGTCTACCTAACTTATGGGCAGTAATAAATGATTGAATAAGACCTTAAATCTTAGGGATATGAGGTGGTAAATAACTATGTAAGGAGGTAAATAAGTATCCTATATTTACTGCCAGTATCATTTTAATTACATTAATTATTTATCTATTTAGGAGACTTTTTAAATGCAGAACACTGTTTTTTCACGTTGGCTTAGCATATTAGAGAAAAACAGACTTTGATGAAGCAACGTAAGGTTTTACTGTAAGGATTAACATAATGATGAATAAAAAATGTTTTTCGGAGAAAGATTCAAAACCAATATATCTGTTTTGGTTTTGTTTTTCAAAAAAACAGCCTGGTCAGCATTCATTTGGGGAGCTATAAAAATATGTTTAAAAAATTCTTGCGAAGGATGTAGAATTCATTCCACATCATTTACCCTGTCACGATGCTGCTTCTATGTTCTTTTATGACTGTTTAATCAGACTATGTTTTTATAATGACCAAAGAATTCAAAAGTAAAAACTAAACAATATACTTGGCACCAGTATGAACATAAAATAAAGAAATAAGTTGAGCTTAATCCAATTTTGAATGTTAATTAAACCAAATTCTATCAGTAAAATAAAATGGAATGGAACCAAACAGATTCAATCAATTATATAAGCATTAGAGAACTATGTACTCTCAGAAAGTTTGAAAAAGAAGTCTGGAAATCTCAAAAGAAGAAAAGTATATTTTTTTCACTTATTTTTCTGATGAAAATTTAGTTGGGAAATTTTAGTTTTGCCTTTTTCACAACCGAAGCATATTGCCTCTTCTTAAAGTGCACAAAGATGTATTATCTGGTAATTTTTCTTAGTCTGTATAATTTTCATTCCTTAATAAAAGATTATGGAAAAAACAGAAACTGTTGATTGGTTATCCTATTCTGGAGTTTTGGGGATTTTTTTTATTGCTCTCTTTTATGTAAAAGAAATTAGAAAGTGTAGTATATTGTTTCTGAGAGATACTTTCTAAATCACAACCACTATTTTTATATTGGCTTGATATATAGGCTCTGGAGAATTTATTATAAAAAATGCATTCAGGCACCTTAGGTAATAAAAATTTCTCTGTGCTATCAGCAACATTAACTACAAATAATTTCTGACTGAGAGAACAAAAGACAAAATTGGAATAATTAACTATCAGTCCAAATTCCACAACTGTGATCAGGATATTTTTATTTTGCGTGCCCATCATGCCAAAGAGTCGTGTCATAGTGAAAGGAAAAATTAGTCTATGTTCTGGCTGTTATTTTATAAACTGTTGAATTTTTATACTTTAAGAAATAATTGACTGAAGTTTTTTCCTTTTTATCTTGAAATTTCCCATTACCCAGCCACATCCTAGATGTGTGTCTATTATTCAAGTTACAATTTAATTTCTGGAAAATATATTGACTGTCAGTGAATAATTTTCAACTCATTTAAATATAACGATATTGTTTTTCTCATTTGCAAAAGTAAACTAATTTGTTGTCTGACATGACCTTACGGACCGTCCATAATGATGCCTTAGATACCTGGCCTGGGAGATGCCCTCTCACAGGAATTCCTCCCTGATTAACATGGAGCTGGGAGACAGAGGTCCCCTTTCCACAGGATTATAGACAAAGGGGTGTTCCTTCTTTTTACTCTATTGACTTCAAAGAAATACATACAACTCAGGGCAAATTTACCCAAACTGCCTCTTTCATCAATGTATCTTAAATAATTATCAAAAAGCACCTAAGAGATTAGGGATACTGAAATCAGTCATTCAGATAACAGTTGTATGGAACTGGGTGGTTCCAGTTTTGTACAATTTCACCAAGAAGTTGGGCTTTCTATTTTGTATGGGGGGAGTCTCTGATCTAGCTTCCAGTGAAAAAGAAAAGAAATGATACAAATAATTCAAGTATATGGATGTCTCAAGGGGTAATAAGTTAATAAACAGGACAACAGTCTTAGAAATAACATTACTCCTGGTTAATACTAAGTAAAAATGCTCAAAGGCTTACAGCTCCCAAAATTCCACACTCAGTGACCAAATGAGATGTCAGTCTCCAGAAGCCCCTCAGCAAAGGGAACGAGCAACATAGTCACATAGTCACTCACCTTGGAGTAGAGGTTAATTTTTATAATCTACTTTCAGTAATGTTTGGGTCAGTGTCTCTCTGTAACAATGGCCAAGCAGACACTGCTGACCACACACACACAGGCTGCGCTGAGAGGCCTCTGGACTTAATGTTCCTATTGATTGATGAGACTTATTTTGGTATGTGGAAAATATGTGATCTTGTACAAGTATTTTAAGACTTACAAGAAAAAGAGACTGCTTTGCTCATAATATGCTCAATAATATTATTGATTGTACACAATGTGGTAAGGGGGAAAAGCATACAGGAAAAAGGAGGCAACTGCAATTAGATAAAAGATAAAACACAGCGTCAGAGAAACTACCCTCGTTTTCATTTCCCTAACCTGAGAATTCTTATTAAGAAAATAAGAGTATACCTCTCCTTGGCAAAAAAAATTAATAGGAAAGCTCGTTTGTTAAAATACATATCAAGGAAGAATTTCATTTCATGCTGTACTCTAACAAACTATTTGAATAGTTTCACTGATAAGAAAATAATGCTTCCAATATATGTGCCATTAAATATTTTGAATTATTCATTTGCCATTATCAGGGAAAAGGTTTCCAAATGAATTTCCTATGAATGGAACTCCTCGTCATTAGTATGAATTAGTGAGCATTTATTCTAATTGGGCAAAAGCTGAAATAAATAAAAATAAGGTAAATTTTGGCATAACCACAATACCGTACCTCTGTTGTCCTATTCACCATCATCTGAAGCAGTGTTGTGTGGGAGAAAGAGGGAAGACATTACACAAGGCGAAATCAAGGAAACAGTCAAGCTGCTCACTAAAGCTGGGTTCCAACAAGCCGAACGCCTTCTACTGAGAAAAGACATCCCAAACACTCCACAATACAATGGTATCGTTCTAATTCGGTTTCTATTATTTCTGCCTGTAAACAGATTCCCCAAAACCTCACCTCATCTCTGAAAGAAAATTAATCTGCCATTTAATTGTTTGGTTACTGTACCTAATAAACGGTCCCCTTCTTTCTGAAATACCTCGGAGAGTAATTTATCCCTTTTCGTAACCAGAAGTAATTTTGCACTATCACCATGGCCTACTTCTTTATCATCCCCCCGGAGGAATCTGGCAGCCGAGAGCTCCTTTGCACGGAGTGTCCAGCTTTTACCTTGGACTGCACGTCAGCATTGTGATCGTTCTGGAGCAGGAGGGCTGCGGATTTGGTGTCGTCTTTCCGAGCCGCGATGTGCAGAGCTGGCAGCCTCACTTTCCCCTTGGTGTCGTTCTCCAGGAGGATGGCCACAGCCTGGTTGTGACCTTGCTGGAGTGCCACAGCTAGCGGAGTAAATCCATCCTGGGAAAACAGGAGAAGAAAAAAAATCTTCCATTAACTTTTGAATGCTTAGGATTCAACTCCAGGCAATTTTTTTACAGTAATGATTAAGAGTGATAAGCAAAAGCATAACATATGTATGTCTGTAAAAATTAGAAGCAGATTATTGTCAGCCATGGGTCATCCTGTGAATTAGTGGAACCAGATTGCTTTCCTAAATTCTATTCTACATATTTTGAAAAACATCCACATTCCCTACCAAGGCATACTACAAACGGAATGTGCTCAAATGAGTGTTTACAATGGGAAACTCAAAATTGAAACCAACTCTAATAAATGTTGGCTATGGAAATCAGAAAAGTGGGAAGGGTAGGAAGGGTGTAGACTCAGTCCGATTGGGAATCAAAGCTATGATAACTAACATATGTGTGGCACAGCCAATACGTGGTTAATTATGTAGCTAACTAAATATCTCTGAATTGGTTAGGGAAGACGAAACCCCTGGACACGGAATGCTCTAATATCAATTCAATTTTGAACGTTTGAGAAATAGCACGATCTAAAACTCTGGCCAATTAGGCTAATTTATTGATTTTGTACTTAGCTGAATTTTATGTTACTTAGATCAATTAGATGTAAAATAACACAAGCTAGGTGATATAAAAATATCAGCTATTCAGTTCTAAACTTAAAAATAGAAAGCTTAAAAAGCAATGGCAGAGATAATGTACAGTTACAGGAAATTTAAGGGCATATAACTCTACTAAACTTAGAAAGCCACGCTTTCACTCAGTTCCTGGAAAAGCAACAAACAAATAGAAAAATACCAATAGCACAGGCTTGACTTAGGTACCAAAAAACCCTTAATCCACAAAAGTCTGAAAACACGTTTCAATGTTAGTTTTCATTTACACGCAGTAGAGATAAGGGCAACAGAAGGCTACATTTAAAGATTGCGTTCTAGAGACAATAGTACTTTACCACAATCGAACTCCTCGATGTTGTTTTCTTTTTTTTTTTATTGAATGGTAACTGTGTACATTGATGCACTTTGGGGGTACAGTGTGGTGTTTTCATACACAATCCAAGACACTTCCATCAAACTGGTTAACATAGCCTTCATGTAACTTTCTTAGTTATTATGTCAAAACATTCATATTCTACTCATAGAAAGATTCACTTGTACCCTTGCAAGATGAACCACAGGAGTGAACCCTCGAATCCCTCTCCCTCCACCCTCTCCCCCCTTCCTCCCCCTCCCCATATCCTTAGGTTGTTATTAGGTTATAGCTTTCATATAAAAAGGTTTAGATTAGTTTCATAATAGGGGTGTGTACATTGGATACTTTTTCTTCCATTCCTGTGATACTTTGCTAAGAAGAACATTTTCCAGCTCCATCCATGTGAACATGAAGGACGCAAAGTCTCCATCTTTCTTGATGTTGTTTTCAGTAATGATTTATAAAAGATAACTGCAGACTTTTGAGAATTTTTCTCAAGGGTATTACCATGTCACGTGCTCAATACCAACAACAAGAACTGAATTCCAATCCTAACACAGAACTTAACAGAATGGAAGTATAAAGGATGTAACGTCTTACGAGGAACAGTAGCCTGAATTTAGAACTTTGACACAAGTTAAACGCTCTGAGAATGAAAAAAGCATAAGTTCATTATCACATACATGTCTAAATTTACCCTGCAACACCATGATAGTTTATATTTAAAAATATGAATTTATTTTTTTCTTAAAGTATTCGCTCACAGAACAGAAACTCGTTAAAAAGATTTTTGCTTTCAATTTTGTTAACATCTAGGAAGAAGGAAAAGAGTAAAGAAAGACTATATATAGTATAATATATTATATATATATTATTCATTTGTATATATGAAGATGTATATATATTTATATATAAATATATATACAAAGATAGTACTGGAAGAACAGAAAACTCTTTTCAGAAATGTAACTTTGGATGTCCATGCCATGGAGATCATTCTAATCTATACTTCATGTTAGGAGGATTAATATTTGGAATGACTTATTCAAGTGCCCCAACTGATTCTATGAAAAGGAAACCCAAATTAAAGTCCGGTAGCTTCATTTTTCATTGTTTATTTCCCAAACTATAGGAAATTTTTAAAGTTTAAATATTTATTTTCAAACATGAATTTCAGTGTCATATTGAATAATCTCATAATTTATCTGGGTCTTATAGTGGCCATAGTGTCTTGACGAGTAATTAATTTTTGCAAATTATGGCTACCAGCTACTTCCGGGTAAGTGCCTTTGGGGGGCTTAGTCATAGGTGTGCACATGAGATTGTAGAGAAGGTATTTAGCAACAGATAGGATAGGATAGGATATAAAGTGGTAATCAGCTGTCTAGCTCCGTAAGTACTTCTTTTGATACACAAAATGATACACTAAAAAAGAAGGTATAAAAGTTTGTTCAGAGGTGTGTTTCTTGATAACCATTAGGGCTGGTGGTGAGCTTCTAATCAATTAAGTTTATAAATACATATAAATTCATATATATATGCACACACACACACACACACACATACACACATACAAGGCAGAGGATGCCAAAAATATATATACAATTTAAGAAAGGAAAAACTTATATTAAAATTGTAACTTTCAAATCACATTTGACTTCTGCAATTATAAGAGCTGCAAGATGCAATATCCAAGATACCAAATGTTATCAGTATATACTGAATATTGCAATTTTAATACAGTTTTTCTTTCTTAAAATGTATACTTATTACTTTGCCACGTTGTGTGTGCGGATGTGTGTATATATGTGTGTATGCATATCACATAATGCATGCAATGCATATCACAATCAGGAAAAATTAATTTTAGTTAAATGATACATTTTTAAATGAAACAAAGAATGGGTATATTGTATGTCTAAATTAGGTTTCAAAACCTCACATGATTTATGAGAAAAAGCCACATATCTGTATGGAAGTCGTAGAGGATTTTAATTTCCTAAGGATCACAGTGTAAATGGCCTCTACTGATGCAATGTCTATTAAAGGGTATTGTTGGAACCAGATGGACATGCCTCAGAGGTCCAGCCTGAAAGAGCCACAAGACAGCTGAGAATGCCAGTGAACTGATTTTTCCCAAATCATGCACTAAAAACATTAAATCTATTTGGTGCATTGAAGAACTCTGGTGTAAAGATTTCATCTGGTATGTGACTGTGCCTTAAAGGAAGTGAAATAAAACAAATATAGATTGCCTTATTTTGGTATGTTTTTCAGAGATTTTAATGCAAAGATACAGCCTCGTATTGTTACTCAAGCTTTGCCTGAAGATATTCACATGCTGCTCATGAAAAAAACTTGGTGTCTCAGGAGAAAAAAGGCCCCAAATGTTAAAAATCACACATTACCCATGTGGCAAGAGTGTACAATCTGTGTTTGCTGAACAGAGAATTTGAAATCATTTCATACTGGGCAGTTATAAGGAGGAGACAGGTCTCTTCAATCACGATTTCTTGGAATTTTTTTTTTCCAAACTGGTAAGAATAAACCGTCAGAAAGTTTTTGCAACTGGCTCCATAAAAAGTTCTCTCCCAAAGAAACTGGAAAGGAATTTAATAGATTTAAATGACCTCGCCCTCTGATGAAGCATTGAAGGGAATTCATGTTTATTTTGTCTCAAGATGTAATTGTCCAGAGTAGGAGCCATATTAGAAGCATTAAATATTATCAAAATGGTTTCTGGGGTATAAGCATCTATCTACCATCTTATACTTCAGGTCAGGAGTTTTAAGATTTTTATCACTGGTGCTAAAAAATATGCAATAGGAGAAACAAAGCCTGCACCCTCTGGTTGAAAGAGGGAAGGAGGGACATGTCTCAACAGTGCTGACTTTCCTCACCTCCGCTGTATCACCCACTTCCAACCTCCCGGTGGCTCCTGAGGCATTTTCTTCACGTTCAAAGGCCTCTGGAGCATCACTTAAAAATCACTGTTCTGGATAATCATTTAACTTGCTCCTTAATGAGAAGGAAAATACAAAGCAAGTTCTACTTATTAAGGGGTATGCTTAGGAAAGGTAGGTGATATTCTAAGAGTCTCTGCCTGCTCCAGCTTCTTATGTACAGATGTGTTGAATGCTTAAAACTAGACGGATTTCTATTTAATCGTTGCCATAATCAATCATACAACTATCTGTCATTTGCGCTTCAATATGAACAGCTTTTCAAGTGACATAATCCCCATGAAATTGTGCTACCATAAATAATTTTGAATTATTTCTGATGGTTAAAAATTGTTCCTTTAAGGAATTGAATTGGATCTTAACACAGATAAAATACTGATGAAAAGAGATAGGTCACATTTACTATGATCTAATTTTAGTGTGGCATAAGGTCTCCAAAAGGCTTAGAGACAACTTGCTGGAAGCAGGATTTCATGTGAATAAATGGACGCGAATCCAAAATGAAGGCATTGTGTGCACAGAACTGTGTGCACAAGCCTGGGTCACTCGTTCGTGGCACGGTAGTAAATTGTGTCAGTAAAATGAACATTCCTGGCATCTTTTACACAAAGTAATGATCCATTGCTGATGGATCTAGAGAATATGGACATTAAGATCAAAGAACCGAATGCACTAGGGCTGCCAGTCTTACCTCTGTCGCAGTGCTCTGATTAGCTCCATTTTCTAGCAAGTATTTTACAACATCAATGTGGTTCTCTTGGGCAGCCATGTATAAAGGAGTGAAGCCGTTCTGCGGGGAAATAATTAGAAAAGACATCTTCAACCACTTGAAAAAGTTCAAACCAGAGAATATAACAACACAGGGAAAGAGCAAACGCTGAGACGTAAGCCTTTGAGACAGTGAAGCCATGTAACACACCTCCCTTCACACAAAGGCAATCACACATGTATGGACCATTGTAAAATGCAACTAAGTTTTGGTGAACCAAGTCCCACACACAATTTTAAAAAGAATAAGGAAAAAGAGATGGAGAAGAACCATTACCCTCCTTTCTCATCTTCATTTTACTATCAGAGACTCACACTTCTCATCACCTAATATTGTATGAATTTAAAAAATCATTTCTTTAATATATTTGGTATCTCAATATCTATATGATTCTGTACTACACAGAATTCTCACTACATATACGAGGGTCACTAGGAACGTTTGGAGACGGACTGCGTGACAGCCCATTATTTCACTCCCAAGAAACAGTTGACATGTCCTTTCTGACCATCTGTGCCAGTTTCAACTGGCTCACCTTCCTGGTGCTCCTGGGAGGACTTTGTTTCCTCTACATAGGTTTTAACTTTCTTGATTTTTGTGTATCTCAAAACTTTCCTAATGACCCATGTAGCATCTACATAAATGGTATCTATATAACATCTTCTGTATTCATCAGTTCAGAAACTATTTGAATAGGCCATAATTATCTTGAATATACACAGTTTGGTTAGTCAGTTATGTTTAACAATAATTTACTGGTATAAATTATTCCTTATCCCAGAATAGCCTAGGAAAGATTGCAAATTTGAGAATTAAATATTTTAATGCTTTGATTGAAGCAGCATGGTTTTTATACTGAGCATCTTTATATTATCCTTTAAAAGCCATTCTGAAATTCTATCAATCATTCTCATATTCGTTCACCCAATTGTTCACTAAAATTCAATCACTGGTAGCTGGGTCATCACTGAGATACAGTGATAATTAAAATAGCCACATGTACCTTCATGGAACACACACCGGGTAATATTACAACATTATTGTATAGTCATAAGATTTTTTAAATTACCAACATTTTATAACATAAGTATCAAGCTAAATATTTAAATTGGCAAATTTTCTTTTATAGTAGGTCCTTAGGAATACCTAAGGCTTCATTAAGGAAAAAACCCACAAAAATCTACAAAAAAGAAAGCCTGTGAAATAATTCAGAAACTCCCCAAACCCAACAATTCTCTCAAAACCAGGCCAGATGATTCTCTGAAACTTTCCGTGCATTAATGAGAATAAACAAAAACAGAGATGGGTGTTCAGGGATTTTTTGAAAGAAGAAGAAAAAAAAATAGTTTTTAAAAAATACTTTTTGAAACAAAAATTCTGTATACATTGTCTGAGAGTGAAAACATTACTCAAAATGGCCAAGATCCAGCAAAATGTAAATACAGCGTATACCAGTAGAACAACTAAAGTCATTTTAAGTTAGATCATAAAAAAAATCTGCCAGCTTCAAATGGTGAAGGAAAATTTAGAACTAAAAAAGGAATATTATCAAATGAATAAATTAACAATGCTGTAGGATTCGGGAATAGTTTGCTGGCTGGAAAGCACATTTTAAAAAACACTGAACCAGCAGGTGAAATCTCGGGTATTTTAAGCACACTGAAGAGGTGGCGGAAGGATAGAATTAGAGATTCAAAGGGAGGGAAAGCCAGTGGGGATGGTTAGAAACAATGAGTGGGTGTGGAATGCGGCTCCTTCATGACAAGTACCACCAGGCAGGAAAGCAAATAAGAGAAAAAGGACTTTTAACAGAGTCAAACAATTTTCTAACACACTTTCCTCCTATATGATCTTGCAGATAGATCAAAGGAAAGAGAAATACAGGTTGCCAAACAAGCAGGGGAAAGGAGATGTACCATCCTTCGTCCCCTGCATAAGAAAGGTCCCCGCCTTGCTCTATAGAGTCCTCCTCTGACTGAGCAGGGCAGCGTATTTCGAGGGGAAAGAGGACATGTCCTCTGTGCCCCCAAAGCTCCTGATTCCCAGGCCCCTGGCTTCCCAGAATCTCTGTTTCGGTGTTTCCAGGTGTGATGCCCCCACTCTCTCAGACTTCCTCCTTGGGTTCATCCCCTCAAGGGCACATTGATATGCACTCCCTTTGATAGGCTGAATAACAGCCCCCACATACATCCATACCCTAATTTCTAGGACCTGTGCTTATTATCTTTTATGGCGAAAAGAACTTTGTCTGTGTGGCTAAGTTAAAGAACTTGAGATAGGAAGATTATCCTGGATTATCCAAGTAGCCTTGACATAATCACAAGGGTCTTTATGAGAGGGAGGCAGGAAGTCACAGAAGTCAGAGGAGAGAGAAGTGCTTTGCTGCTGGCTTTAGACACGGAGGAAGGGGCCCTGACCCAGGGAATGCAGCTTTAGAAGCTGGAAAAGGCAAGGAAAAGGATTTTTCCTGGACCCTTCTGAAGGAAACAGCAATGCCAGCACCTTGGTTTCAGTCCCATAAAACTGCTTTCCTAAACTGTAAAATAAATGTTGTGTTCTTTTAAGGCACTGAATTTGTAGTCATTTGTTACAGCAACAGCAGGAATGTTATACACACACTTCATGTTGTTTGGTGGGGAGAGTAGAAGTAGGAGAGATTGAAGATGCACAGGTCGGGGTGTCCACACCTTTACAATAATGGTCCCACGATAGGGATGGAGCCAGAGAAGGGATGAAAACGGGCTGGGTGTAGGGCAGGGACCCAGGAATGGCATTGCCTTAACACAGTCCCATGGGGGACTCCAAGGATTCCAAGAAGGCTGAATTTGGACTTGTCATGATATACTTGTCAAGGTCAGAGATACTTATTTAACAGTTTGTTAGCTTTTAATAATAATAAATATATATACATACAATATACAATATATATTATTTATATGTATTTCTAGTAAGTGGGCCTCTTTTGCACTCTCATGCTGGGTCCTACAAGTGTTAGAGGTGGGTTAAAATGGTAGAGAAAAAAAAGAGGAGGGAATTTCAAGGCTTTCAACATACAGTAACAAAGGAGGGAGAAAGGGCAGTGAGACATCCATGACCTTGGTTAAAGTATATCATGAAGACCATTCGTGTGCTTTATGCCACAACTGTGGTGTGCCAGGGATTCCAGTAAAGCGGAGGAGCAAATACGAAGAACAACACAAATACAGATGATTTATTGAGCTTCTTTCTTCAGTGTTACCCACTGTGATGAATGCTATGAATACATCTCTTCAGAGTCTAGTGGCCACGTGCCCTGGTTTGTCTGAGACGGCTCCAGTGTATGCACAGTTTCTAGGAATAATTATTAATAAAGTCTTGGCTTGAAAGATGAATGACTTAATACTAACTCTAAACAGAATACTGCTGTAACATTGGTATGGGCATCCCCATTCAGCCCGAGGCTGTTAAGGCTAAAGTACTTGGGCAGTTTGGCCAAAGTCTCGCAGCTGAGAGAGAACTGGGAGTGACAGACCCGTGTCAGTTCAAGAATAACCTTCCCCGTAAAGGAGCTGGGACCCTATTCTGCAGATGAGTGATCCTCAGCCTTGCTATGTGATAAAATTTCCCCTAGAAATGTTCAGAATGCCAAAGTACCACACTCCCGTCTTGTCCCTTCTGCATTGGAGTCTCTATGAATGAAGCCCAAACACGTGCATTTTTTTAAAGCTTATTTTTGAAATTGCCTTACGAAGTCTTTTATAGGTGATACAGAAATGTTGAATGGTTGGGGGAGGGAGTAACATAATCCAACTTAAATTTCAGAAAGTTTACTGTGATGATTAACAGATGCCTGCTTTGGGGTGGTAGGAGACAAGACTAAAAGTGGGATATTTGCAGTAGTGGAGATAAAAAATGAGGGAAACTTGAGCCAAGGCAACTCCTTGGTTGGCGGATGGAGAAAGCCAGGCCCAGGGCCCCAGCCTGTAATCCCAGCACTCTGGGAGGCTGAGACAGGCAGATTGCTTGTGGTCAGGAGTCCAAGACCAGCCTGAGCAAGAGCAAGACCCTGTCTCCACTAAAAATAGAAAAAAAATTGTAGGGTAGAGTGGCAGACATCTGTAGAGCCAGCTACTCAGAATGCTGAGGCAAGAGGGTCTCTTGAGCCCATGATGTTGCTGTGAGCTATGGCGATGCCACAATACTCTACCAGAGCAACAGATTAAGGCTCTGTCTCCAAAAAAAAAAAAAAAAAAAAAACTAACAAACTAAATAAAAATAAGATGGAGAAAGCTGTTTACTGCTACAAAACTTGTGAAGTGAGGCAATAAAGATTTATTATAGGTCCTAATGATGTGGAAATTATTTCTTAACTTACTGCTATGTAACAAGAAAGAGCCCACTGGAGAATGTGAAACATGCCTCAGGGTAATTAGGGCAGGGCATGGCAGCACTTTAACACCATCGTAAACTCTATGGGAAAGCATTTATCTTAACACATAAACAGCTAACAACACATTACTGGCCTCTATGTGTGAGATCCAGGTTCTTTCCAACATATGTATAGTATGTCTCTATGTCTCTCTAAAATAGTCTGGTTGCCTATAGTTATGAAAATACATGTGTCATTTCCTTTTTAGTATAAAAAAGTCAAATGTATCCATAGTCTAGGCTGATACCTTGCTGAGTTCAATGAGGACAGCATCATGGGTGGTTATAGGAGTTCCAGTGTGACTAATCGGTACCACTAGCAACTGGTTATGAAATGTTTCGAACATTACCCCCGCGCATTGGTCATTATTAATCATTGCCCATTTGTTTATATTTATTCAACAAAAATGTGTTTGTTGACTCTTCACTACGAGGGCTTAATTTTTCAGAGATAAAAGACAAGTTTCCTGTTTTAAGAACTCACAGTTCAGCGGTTGACAGGGACAAGTTAGAAAACTACAGTATCACACTCAGGGAATGCATAGATGATTTGTTTTTTTTTTTTTTTAATTATATGGTGGGTATAAAGAGAATATAGATGAAGGACACAGAAC